CCCGGGGGGGGAGGCGCTCCGGAAGACGGCCGTCTGGGGCGCCGTCGCGGGCCGCGGCGGGCTCGACGCCGACATGGCCGGGCTGCGCCTGTCGGCGGGCCAGCTGCAGCTGTTTTGCCTGGCGAGGGCGCTGCTGAGCCGCGGCGCCGTCGTGCTGCTGGACGAGGCGACGAGCAGCATCGACCCGAGGACCGACGACGAGGTGCGCAGGGTGGTTCGCGACGAGATGCGCGGCAGGACCGTCGTCGAGGTCGCGCACAGGCTCCAGCTCCTGAGGGACTGCGACTTGGTCGTTGTCATGGCGGCCGGCAGGGTCGTCGAGGTCGGCGACCCCGAGGCCTTGCTGACAAGGGAGGCGAGTGCCTTCAAGGCCCTGTGGGAGAGTCGGCGTCTTTGGAAAACCAAACAAAAGTCGGCAACAACATGACGAGATGCACGAAACGCGGAAAAAAAAAAAACACACACACACATCAGGTCGTAATCGTATTCATTAATCCCTACATCTACAAGCAATCCAACCCCAACTCCCACACTCCGGCCAGTACCAGCAAGTCCTTCTCCAATATAAAGCAAAACATCTATGGCATGTCTTCAACAAGTTCAGATGGACCGCACCCAAGACGGCGGGGGAAAGCAATGTCTTCTTTGGGATTCAAGAGAAGCGAATACGAAATAAGTAGGAGAGAGAAAGTAAGAAGGTATCGACAATCGAGATTTTGTACTGGTTTCTGGTCTGTGCCACCCTTTTTTTTTACATGGCGTGTGAATTATACCCAGGCGGCGCCTTGTTCGACGTAGGAAGCGAATCATGTTCGGGGTGTCCACTCCAAACCGTTTCATCCGGCAACACCAAGTTGACCAACTTTGGTGACCCTTTCTGCTTTGAATTTAACCTCATCGTCTAGAGGCCAAATTGCTGCGTGCGAATAGCTGGGGAGACCAGCTTCGGCATCTGATATTAATGGCCCCGACTTTGACTTGCGCTCGTGCGACTTCGCTCATCCTCCTCCTCGATTACGTCGCTCAGCCTCGTTGGATGATGATGCCGCGGAACAGTCTCCCAGCCAGGGGCACCATATCCCTGCCCAGAGTAGTCCTGAGGATCTGAATAGGCACCAGTCCACCTACCCTCGCCCTCGGACGTTGATGCAGGCTCGTGGGCACCACTGGGCGGGTTTGTCGTTGCCGGCGTATCGTAATCGTCTGCCTCCGGATCAGAAACCGAAGCTCCAGAGGGCGGTGCGGCAACAAAGGGGATTTTCTGCCCTCGAGAGTCGAGAACAAAGTTGCCCGCAGCGTCAATAATGTACTCACCTTCGCTGAATGCGCCCTCTGAGCCGCCGGATCTGCCTCGGGCGTGCGACTGCCCCTGCTCGTGGGGTCTGTAATAGGTGCCGCTGGGGCCCGCAGTCGTTGGTGATGTTGCTGAAGGTGGCGCCTGTGAGTGCTCGGGGCCGTAGCTTTGAGGGTACTCGGCTTGATACGCCTCCGTCTCCCTGGTAGTGGTGCCTTGCCGGCTGACGCCGCCATGCGTCATAGGAACAACTTGTACGCCGCCAACAATGGTAGGGTGGCCCGACTGTAATGACAAAGTTCTGTCCCGTTCCTCTTGCTCTCTTCGTCCGAGTTCCTCCCAAGCTCTGCGCGCTTCTTCCTTGGAAATCCGCAGCTCCTTGCGCATCTCAGTAAGCTGTTTCTGGGCCTTGGACGTGCCTCGCTCATGGTCGATGGCATCGCGAATGGCATCCGCGCGGTCTCGTCGTTCTCTTTCAAGCGCCTTTTCGAGCATGCCATTGACCTCCTGGGCTCGTTCCAGCTCAGCTCTGGTCTCAAAGAACCAACGCTGGAACTTCCTCTCTGAGCTAGCGCGTAGCCGTTGTAATTCTACCACCGCATGAAACAAGTTGGCACCGGCCGCTGACAAGTCAGTAACTTGCCGCGCCAGTTGCTGACTCAAGGGGTCACGGTTGATGTCGTCCTTGTTCTGCTCTAGTTTTCTAATCCAGTAGCTTGTCAGGCCCTCCCAATGAGCAGACAGCGTTTCCCAGCGCTCAAAGGCATGGGGGAACGAGTTCCTAGGCTTCGCAGGCTCAGTGGGTTGAGTTGTGGGTTCCGCTGCGGCACTGGCCTGCTGTTGGGCCCGCGGCCGGCCGCTAGATGTGACATATGTAGGTGATCTGGTAGGTTGTTGTGTGGCGTTGGGTGCAAATTGTGCAGGTATTCGCTGCTCTGCTGATGTTTTAGCCGTAGGTACAGCGGCTGGGGCTCTAGGACCATGTGTGGCTTCTTGGACAGCTTGTCCATGACCAAGGGGTGGTGATTGGTGCTGCTGTTGCAGTTGTTGCGGCTCTGTGCCGCTGGGTTGCCCGGCAGCAACGCCAGCAGATCGACGTTCGGCATTCCTTCGTCGTGTTTCATCCAGCAAACGCGCTTCCTGTTCGGCTCTGCTTCGTTCTAGAGCCAGCTGTTCGGCTTCTGCCCTCTGTCTCGCTTCTCTGGCAGCCCGTTCTTGCATAATCATCCTCGGCCCTCGAATCCCAGACGGCGAACTCGTCGGCGCAGGCCCAGCTGAGGGACGGCGGGTAGATGCCGCACCATTGCCATCGGAAGTAGCAGGAAGTCCGCTGGTGGCAGCCATCAGATCCGCCATATCAGCGGATTCCTCGACGACGTCTGGCGTAAAAGGGTTTGGGTGCCGAAGAGCCTCTTCAAGAGCAAAAAGAATAGCACTATGGGTGTTCCTAGAAACTCTGACAACGGGGTGCGGCTCGCGCCGATCCCGGCGGGGGGGAGAGTGAGGCCCGGATTGGTGCTGAGAATGAGGTCGATCCGAGGAAATGTCCTTCTCGAGGCTCTCTTCTAGATCTTGGGAATTGTTCCGGTGGAGACGGGCTCTGTCCTCGAACAGAGAAGAGCTAAGGCCAGTGACAGACGAGTCTGGACGTGTCCTGGCAAAAGGGACGGGACTCGGAGAGAAGCCAATTGAAGCTGCGGCAATGTGGACTTGACGCGGCTCTGTACTGGCCGGACTCGGCGAGGGAGCTGACTCGAACCTAGGGGTCCGGCGAAGAGATCGTTGGACTGAGGAAGCTGGCGTGGAGAGTCTCGAGACAGGATCTGGGTCCTGATGATGCAATGTCTGCTGGGTGGGCAGCAAAGTCGAATGCTGCTGGCGTTGCTTGGGGTAAGATGTAGGCTCGTGGTCGTGGGTCTCGTGAGGGTCGTTGAAGAGAGACTCGGGTGGCTGGGAAAAGACTCCTGAGGCCGTTGGGGTTGGGTGTGATGGAGACAAGGTGGCGAGCTCACCACCAAGTCGTGGCGGCAGCGAGACGTTGGACGTTAGACGTTGGCCGTTAGATTCGCCTGGGTCCTTGGGTTGACGGAATTGGGAATCGAAGATTGGCCAAGATGAGCGCGAGGAGCAGGGCACAGCGACGCACAGTGCAGAGGTCTGGCCTGAGACCAGAATGTGTCGAGTCTGCCGTGTGACGTCGGAGAGCTTTCAGACTTCGAGAGGGCCCAAGCAAAGATAAAAAAAGAACTGGCTGGAATGCAAGCTAGGGATAAAAAGAGTCGGGACGAGGCAGTCATGGGTGAAAGAGTGCCGGCACCCAAATGAGACAAGAAGGGCATTGAAGGACAGAGATGGCGGCGCACAAAGTGACCCCGAGGTGAGGTGATGTCAAAATGTGGTGGCAGGGGAAGAAAAAAAAAGGCGGCGATCGGATTGGAAAGTTGGAGTTGAACGTCTGCTGCTTCTGTCTGGTCGAATGTCAACGGCGGCGGCGACGAGGTGACAGGCAGTTAATGGTACCAGACCAGACATGGATGGAACCAGAGCTGAGGCTGGTCGGGGCCGACGGGGGTAGGCAGGCAGGTGGGCAAGTGGATCCGGGTTCAAGGCTCCCATGTCAACTTGCACCCACATTGAACATCCAAACTCCAAAAATCGGGGGCTGGAAGTTCAAGGTCAAGGCGCAGCTCTGTGCAGCTCTGTGCAGCTCGCAGTGAGCAGATGCGCGCCACGCAATTGGGGCCGCCCAAGGCCTCGCGAGACGGCCGCAATCCCTGGCGCTTGTTCAATGTTGCGGCTGGGACTTGGGAGTCTGATCTGGCAGCGAGGATATCAGTTCAATGTGACGCCGTACTTTGTGTACCCAAGTCAGGTACCTGCCTGGGTCAGGGAGGCACCTGGGTACCTCGTACGTGCTCATGTCGCAGCCCGACGGGGGCCAGTTGACAAAGTCCTGCCTCGACGCTTGGAGCCCTCAACCCACACCACGCCAACGATGTTATCTCTTGCCAGAGAAACGCCGTCGCCGTCGACAAGTCTTTTCGACCAGCTATGGCTGGCCGTACAATGGGAATGAGGCGCAGCAACGGGCGGCACCCAGCCGGCCCCAGACTCTCTACCACGTGCGAGGTACCCCGAGATGCGCGGTACGTACCAGACATGTCCCGTCCAGTACAACTCAATCTGGGGTTGGGCGGCGCAGAAACGGTCTGGTAACTGGCTGAAGAAAGAAGGAAGGAAGGAAAGAGAGCAAGACATGCTCTGAAACAGCTGCGCAAAAGAACTTTTACGTCGGCAAAACCAGAGTCTCTATTAAGCTACCAGATAGCCAATCCCTACGGCAGCAATCCATCGTCTCTTTCCCTCGATTGCCTCATGCCAAGCTGCTGCAGCCAACTGCGACCGTTTGGCGCCAACAATATGCATGGTTCCGGTGGCAATCAACTTGGTGAGTTGTTCAGTTTAATGCCGCTCGCTACCTTAGTTCCGGGCGGCATCGAATGAGTATCCGGGGGCCAACCAACCAACGCCCAAACCCCGCAGGATTTTTCACCCTCTTCGGACGTTTTTGCATCCGTCGTGTCTAGATCAAGGTCACGGCTCACTTGTGTGGTGCCAGAGGAAAGAGAAAGTGAGAGAGGCCTGGTGGTCATGTGTGTGTATGTGTGTGTTGCTCTCGTGGATTGGAGTCGCATGGGTGCAAGACGCATGGATCCCTGGCCTCTTGCGGTAAACCAACAACTTGCTTCTCAGATGGAAACTGCAAGTCAGTCAACCAAGACTTTGAGAAACAAAGGGAAACTCTTGCAAGTGTCAGGGTTGTCGAAAATTTGTAAATTAATTGCTAGATGTAATGCAGAAAGGACATTGATTCTATCGGCAATACGGAGTATTCTCCCGAGAGAAGTACATTTGTATCTATAAAGTAACGCCCACAGTTGACACTTCAAAAAGAGAAATCCAGTGGCAGAGTTGCTCCCTACTCCTCTATCCAGCAAGTATAACAGGCCGTACCTTATTTCAACAGCCAGAACCCAGTATACAGTTTTGGTTCAACTTGTTCAACTTGATTAGCCCCCAAACCAGCATCACCGCCTCACACTCAACTTCTCAAGTAGAGGACGCTCAACTGCGCTTCCGCCAGAGAGCAACATCTTCCAAGCATAGTGCAAACCATTGACTCCATCGAACCGTCTCTGGCTTCCCAAGCCGGCCAACCACACAGGCCATTTCTGTCGACGCAATGTTAACCTCCGTCATCACCGCCGCGAGGACAAGGGTCGTCTCGCAATGCGTCAACGGTACTCCGTACTACGTACCTTGCAGCAAACCCGGCCACACTACCGCGGCCAAGATGCGACAATCTCCCACTGAACAAAGGAGAATCCATCCACTTCCAGATATCAATTCCCTTTTTCGGCAGGCCATGGGCGCGCGGGTAACGATGGACGGCTCGGCCCTGGGCGTCGGCGAGCGGCCGGGATCCTCAAGGTCAAGTGATTGTGCTGTTTGAGCGGGCCAATCATGCCGCGCGTAGGACATTTTGCGAAATAAGCTCTCGGCACTGGGACATGGTGCCTTGGAGGATATGGAGATTTGACAGCCGGACGGTTTATACTCGATATATACGATGAACAAGTAATTATTTCTCAAAATCATTTCATCTTCTTTATTTAACCACGTCTATGGAATATCATGTTGAACGACATTGAACCCTGTAGCAAACTTCCATCATACAATCTCATCGAGGTCTCATTCAGGTACAGACGTCAGGCCGAGTACATAAAACAGCCATATTTACAGACTTTAAGATAACATTCCCATTCCCATTCCCATTCCATTACTTCCGTTTGCCCAATCTAAGCAGTATCCAAAACAATAACCTCTGCCTCCTCAGACCCAATACTCTCCACGACCAACTTATCACCAGCAAAGACGCCCTCCACAAACGCACCGTCGCCTTCCTCCAGCTCGGCGTCCTCGCGTCCATCCAGACGGATCTTGGCCTTGCCCCCCTTCAGCATGGGCAGGTGCACAAACACCTTTCTCTTGTTCTGCTCGGTGGCATTCGCCCCGACGACCCATTCAAACGCCTTCTCGGGCGCAATAATGCCGGCGCCCATGGCGAAGTCCGCATGGATGGGAATGGTGCCCTCGACAACCGCCTCGGCGTCCTTCTCCTGCTGCGCCGTAGCATCCTGCCCGCCCTTGAGCGGGCTCAGAATCTTGACAAAGGCCTTGCGCTTGTCCTCGTCGTCAAAGTGGCGGGTGTGGTAGCGCGGGGCGAGCCCCTTCTTCCACGGAATGGCCCAGATCTGCAAAAAGTGCACCGTGTCGCTCTTGTGCTCGTTGAACTCGGAGTGGGCGATGCCCGTGCCGCCCGTGGTGAACTGCACGTCGCCGCGGTGCATCCTGTAGAACTTGTCCGACTGGCCGCCCTCGCTGCCCTTGGTGAGCATGGAGTCGCGGTGCGTCAGCTCCCCGGAGAGGATGTAGCTGAAGATTTCAAAGTCCCGGTGCGGGTGCGTGGGGAAGCCCGAGTTGGCCTTGACGCGGTCCTCGTTGAGGACGCGGAGGGACCCGAACTGCGAGAACTTGGGGTTGTACCAGTCGGCGAAGGAGAAGCTGTGGTACGTGTTGAGCCAGCCGTGGTCGCTGTGGCCGCGGGTGCCGGACCGGTGCGGCGTGATTTTGGCGTTGCGGAGGGCCGATTTGGACATGTTGGCGGCCGACTTGAGCATGGACAGGTCGTCGCCTTGTGTGCTGAAAATGGTGAGGTTGACGGCCTTTGACAGGGCTTGTGTCAGTGTGTAGTTGAAGCTGGGTGCGATGCTGATGATGAGGATGGAAATCGAAGCGATGACAATGGCCACAACGGTCGCGGGGCGAGACATATATACTTGCCGGGCAGGGCGTCTAGAAGAGAGGAGAAGGTTCGCGGGGAAAAGATGGCTTTTATCAATAACAATCTACAACGTGTGCATAATGGTTGGTTCATTGATATATAATGGTATGAAAGTTTATATGTGCCATGTGTAATTACCGTACTGTTGCCGTTTCGGGCTATTAGCAAACGATTCTTAAGCTCAACGTAATCGGCGCTGTTCCCAAATAGGACTACGGTGGGCGCGATTGGCCAATTGCGGTTCTGGCTTTGAGCGGATTACGGGATGATGACTACAGAGTATGCGCCGCCGTCTGAGAGTCTCGAGTCTCTGGAGCTTTACCTAATCTTTCTCAAGCACAAGCTCCAGGTTGCAAATGCTTCATTGCGCCCACGTGATGAAGTGGGTGTGCAGAGGTGCGTCAGCGTCGTCGAATGGTGTGATGCGCTGGCATGTGGCTTGTCTGCATGGCTGCGCTATGAGGAGCCACTGCTGTGCGTGTTGCTTGCAGGGAATACGTCTGGGTTGATAAAGTCGATCAGCGTGGGCTCTTGATGCCCAAACTGTCGCGACGGGGATGAGCTATTGCGGAACCATCAGTACACCTCACAACTGGATTCAGCGCCGTGCATTGATCAAAGATGAGGGAGACAATGATGATGGCCCCCAGAGCCATTTACAGTTGTTGGGGCCAAAGAACGAGGAATATCCCCCCAGAATCAAATACTCCGTACGGAGTAAAGGCAGGGCTATTGGGAGCCGTGGTTGAAGGATACGTGGTACCTACTTTATCAAGCATAAACCCAATGATAAGTTATCTTTCTAACGCTCACGCCATGTCGACTATTTGATTTTGGTCAAGTTGGGATGCTCTGTGACGTCAGACGAAGCCTGACCCTATCGGGTCGCGTGCCACGTATCCGGTACAGACAGAGCCTTAACTTGCAAAGTACGCTAGAGCTGCCAAGTCAAACAGCAGCACTGTAGGATACATAATTTGAAGTTTCAAATCTTAGCACCAGAAGAGTTAAGAATAGAACAGGCGCAATAACATGCGGCTTGGCATCTGCTTTACCTCCGGGACCTTACCCACGCCGACTCAAGTATGCGGCCCGCGAGGCTGAAGCACCTCCACCAAACCCAATCAATATAACCTCATTCGTATGTGTTGACTACATCCTACAATGGATGGAGCCGGTGTGGTGCCACGGCCGAATCCCGTACCAATTCACATTTGTCTTCCTGGTAAGTGCGCCAAGCTTCTTCCACCGGATGTGTTATTTTGGGCTTGCATTTGGCCGGCCAGAAACGAGATAGTGTTTTTTCAAAAGGAAAAAAGAAAAAAGAGATCTTCGCATAACGGGTAGGTAGCTACGAACCAGCATCAATCGTTGTTGAAGATGGGCGAGCACCATTTCATACTACCTAGGTACCTAGGTAGTTATGTGGTCTATGCTGGTGCTGGTGCACGTTGGTGGCGCACGGCAGGAAGGTGCTATGGGTGCTGTTGAAGGACTCGTCAGAATCTTGACCAGCCCCCAGTCATGGCCATGGCAAAGCTACGTACTCCGTATTCGGTAGAGAATAGAACACTGAGAGCACCGACTCCCGTCCAGCCTCACGTATCGAAAGGCTGCCTATGCGTACGAAGCACAGAGCATGGGACTATTGAGTAGACGTTGCACAACCAGGCAGTATATGTTATGCCCTTTTTAAGATGGTGCAGATTGGCCCGACGGCCCAGGGGTCGACTGACTGGTGCGGCGCCTGTCCCAACCACCCAGTGGAAAAGAGACATCTGGAGGCGGCCTTGGCCCCGCCACCTCCAACTTTGACATGGACGGGAGTTGGGAGCCGGGGTACATGCGATCTCATTTGCCCGGGTGTTCCTTCCTTCTTCGGATGATATTTTGACTGTCAGCGCCATCGTACACACACACATTTCCACACTCATCTTGAATCTTAAAAAAAAATTCGATTCGGCTCCCCATCACTTACTTTCCTCCTCTTACAACGTCCCTTCGCGGCGGAACTTGGACAATTTGTTGTCTGCAGCCTCAGGTAAGCCGTTGGTCTCTCTTTTTAGCCCTCTATTGTCTCTCCAGCCGGCGGGATCGTCCGCCCACTAGTCTGGTCCGCTTTGCCGCTGAGGGCTCCCTCAGAGCCCGCCCAAAACCCACATGTGCACTCCGGACGTGGGGCCGGTGGCTGGATGCCCAACATTGAAAACGCCCAGCTATCCTGAGCTCAAGCGTTTTTGTTTCATCATTGGTGCCTTCACGCTCTCCCAGCCTCGTCAAAAAAAAAAAAAGAAAAGAATTTTACTCTCCCAAGTCCAACCATATCTGAGTTAATTCCCTCTCGCATCATGTATCCTCATCTTGCATTGCATTTGGACGCCTCAATTGGCCGCTATACCCAAGTGGACCTGACCTGCATCGGAATGCGTCGACGATGAACTTCCAAAACCTAAACTTTGAATATGTGGAAGCTCCCCGTACGTTGACACTACACACCGTTTCTTTTGACCTAATCTACTTACGGTTTATTTGATGCCTCCAACGCTAGCTCGACGGCTTGACTGATGGCTGTGTTCTGTTAGACTGGTTTCCGCCACGAGAAATAGTGCCTTCTGTTCACACCGCCAGCGACGACTCGGAATCAGCTCGTCGCCTGCGTCTTTCTCAGGATAGCCACAAGCGGTTAGACTATCGTCAAAGTCAGTCGTTCTCGCAGCGGTCATTGTCACCACAGCCATCCATTCTGCCGAAACAACCCTCTCCCGCCTCACCTACCCACTCGTCTCCAGAGCTGTATGGTCCAGATAGGCTATTGGGGCTCTCCGGTGCATTCCAGTCAGAGCGACAGCCACAGCCAGACGAGACGGCTTTAATGTCAAACCAAACGGTTCGGTTTGACGAGGCTCAGCTGGCAATGTTCGCTGCCGACAATGCTGCCCGTATGGACGGCTTGAAAGATGAACTGGCTCTCGCTGCGGGTAAGGTCACTCCTGGCGTCGACGACACTCCGTATATTCAATACGCTCTGGAGGCGTTAACTCGCGAAAGAGGAAATAACACCACCAGCCAAGTACCCATTCCTTCACCTCCTTCAGAGACGTATAATGAAAGGTATCAATCACGGAGCCCAAAGTTCATGGCCAAGGGGTTCGCTGCTCCACCAATGGCGCCTACTCGAGGTGAGCGGTTGCCCTCACATGAACTGCTCAATTCACCTCTTTTACACCAATGCCAGCTTGACACTCCTGAGCTGCCACAAGACCGAGGTTTCTCATATCCTCAGCCCATGGCGGCTCCATTGTCTCAGAAACCGTCTTCCACGGACCATTGGATTCCGGTGGATAAGAACATGTTGCAGACTATTGATCCTCGAGGCCGTACATATCCGCCTTTGACTTTCAAGCCACGAATTTTACGACCATTCTCAATGTTAATGTTAATGACTCTATGCGCACTCATGATGGCAGCACTGATATTTTCCGCCGTGTATTCGCGGAAAAATGAAGGATTGACGCCCTACCCTGGCAGTATATATTCGGGTCAATATTTTGTATTTCGTATCTTGCCTCAGCTGTTGGCCGGGGTGGTCCTTATCTACGCTCAAAACATCATGGCAGCATCCCTCCGGATCATACCATTTGCAACTTTGGCCGAGGAAGATCCTGAGAAACGATATCTGGCCCTATTTCGGAGCCTGTACCCGACATCCTTTCTCCTTCCTCAGCTATCAGGCCCCTGGCAGCTCAAAACCTTTGGCATAGCCACTTGGCTTGCCAATTTCACTCTCCCACTACTGAGCGCAACATTTACGTGTATATACGTGGACGGCCAGGGACGATGGATATGGTCAGCTACTCAAGGGTTGATCTGGGTATCAGTTGCCCTGTATGCTATTCTCTTGGTTGCTGCCTGCATATTAATGACGTTTTGGTTCGGCCACTGGACTGGACTTCTCTGGGATGCGCGCTCCGTCGCAGACCTGATCCCACTGCTGCATCGCACCAACACCATGAACAGCTACCGGCGCAAGGGCCTCTATGAGCGCAACTGCGACTACAGGGCAGAACTCCGAGAGCGGTGGTTCGACCGGCTAGGATACTGGCAGAATGGGGACATGACGGGGGGCGTTTGGCACGCGATCGGAACATCGGCCGTGCCGGCAGACGGCGGCGCAGAACCACGATCTGAACGTCGAAGCAACAGTCTCTCCGTCGGATCCCACATGACGGCTTCCTCTGCACTGCTAGACTTTGAAGGAGGCACGTATCTGCCATGGTGCCTTAGAGACGTGCCACTGGTGTCATTCATCCTTGTGACCAGCGGCCTGCTGCTAGCTCTCCTCATCGTGTCTTTCCTGCCCCAGACAAAGCTCGAGTCCGGTTTCGCGCCTCTCCTCACTGCACGACCGGATGACGCAGCCTTCTCTGCAGCCAACTTCCTCTACAGCTTCCTGCCCGCCACCCTGGGCATGATCCTATTTCTGCTATTCCAGAGCCTTGACCAAGCACTACGCATTCTCCAACCATGGGGCGACATGACCTCTCTCGACGGTGCCGTCGCAAGCCGCTCCATTCTCGCCGACTACGCCGCCTGCCTCTCCTTGCACGCACCAGTGCGGGCTCTCCGCAACGGCCACTGGCGAATCGCCGTCATATCCCTCATGTCCACGCTCTTCATCTTCATTCCCATTCTCGCGGGCGGCCTGTTCATGGCCCTCACGGCCCCGACACAGCAGGTCCGCATGTTCCCGAGCATGCCGGTCTACGGCGTCCTCGTCGCATTCCTCATCCTCTACGTCGGCTGCGCGTCCCTCCTCGTCCCCCACCGCCGCCAATTCTACCTCCCCCACGGCGTCACCACCATCGCATCCCTCGTCAGCTTCTGCACCGCCAGGGACCTCTACGAGGACCCTGCTTTCCGCTCCGTCCGGTCCAGGAAGGACCTCGCCGCCCGGCTGGGCGTGGGCCGCAAGGACGCCCGCGAGGAGAGCATCTGGTTCTTCGGCGTGCTGGCAGGCCGTGACGAGAAGCGAATCAGCGTACGGCGAATGAAGCGGTACACTGAAAAAATGGCAATGACGCGATCCATGACCTCCATGGTCTAACAAGTGAGAAAATCGACGACGTTAAACGGGCACATAATGACTGGACTTTTACCGGATTTTACGAAAATTTTCAAAACATGGCATTGGAGTTTTTGGGGCGGGCCTTTCCTCCTTGTAATATTGTGAGTCCTTGTAATATTGTGAGTTTTCCTTCCTTTTCTTCTAGGCCGTTTTTGCATTTTGGCGTTTTGGGTGGGGATAAATGATTGATGGATCGACTGGAATGTTTGACGGCACATGAATGAAGCCGCATAGGGATGTACGTGAACACGGCGCAAAAAGTCCCCAGGTAATGAATTTGTCTGTTCCAATATACCTGTATGCTATAGAAACACAGCGCATAGTCATTCACGAGAAGAAAGAAAAGGCATTTCGTCCTGGAACGTAGTGAAACACACAACTTTGGCCAAGTCGGCGTTTCTTTCTTCCTCCTTCGCAAGCCGCTTTGCCAGACAAAAAAAAAGCGAAACCGGCGGAATAAAATTTGACAGGTCGCATTTGCCCACAACCTCCATACCAGCACCTCCCAGGAATGCAAAAACACGTACAAATAAACATTCCCCCATCGTCGTGATAACTCGTTTAGTCACTTGCAAGGACATACACGCCCTAAATTCATCAAATAAACAGCAATTTTTTTTTTTTTTGTCAACTACAGGAGCCCGCGAGGGCTCATATCCAACACCGTGCTTTTACTACCCCCCCCCCCCCCCCCCCCACTCTCCCAACAACACACACT